TTGATTGTTTGGGCGGTGGCGAAATGTGCGTAAAATCTGGTAACCCGACTCAGGAGTCCTCATGAAATCTCATGAACATGACCAAGTCTATACTGAGGGTCCCTTGCAGAGTCTGGTCTGAAGCATGTAACGACACCAGACACCATAAGAGCACCAGGCGCCAAACACCTCATGCATGGCACATATATATATATAGTATATGATATATATATATAGTTTTATGTGGCACATGCACTGATCCATTGCAGACCACCAGTCAACATCGCGAAACTGATCAAAGATGTCATAGATCACTTTGAGTGTTCCAATCATATATAATCATCATATATATATATATACCACTACGCAAGACATCTACACCACGGATCGCCACGAGTCAAGTCCCTCGTTTGGGTCCCTGGTTCACAGGATCTATCCTTGTTGGACAAGTCGATGAATTTATGATACATGATAATATATATATATAAGTATATGTATATACACATGCGTATGGAATTCAGTTTCATCTCAAGCAACGGCCTTCACAACTTCACTGATATCTCCTGAGGTTTTCATTTGAGGGAGAGATTCATCATCTCTCTACGCGACGGGCGGAGACCTCGTTCGTCTCTTCGCCCCTTTTAGTGGGCAAATGACCCACGTGGCGCACGTGGCGCAGTACGGTTTGCGGCAGGTGCGCCAAAATGAATACTATTTGCCTTCGAGGTGGTTGGAAGTGCAGGCTTTATTGATTTTTTTTGTATGTTGGACCCATTTGCTATGACCAAACTGACAAGATCGTAAAGTCTTAGGTTAGTGAGCTACAAGCGCTGAGGTTGGGTGCTAGAAACAAGACCATTCTTTGGGCAAGAAAGTCGCCTATTCGCTCGACTTTGTTACATTCGCCGACCACTCAGTCCACCACTCGCCGATCTAGTGAAGTGTTTGATTGGTCCAAAAGTCAATCGAAATGTTGGACATCGAGGGAACGAGCTCCCCAACCTGAAAATTGCTAGTTGTTCACCCCAACTTGATCAGCCTTGTCTTACTTTTCTTATGTACTTCTTGAAACTGGTACTACATAAGTCTGCTGCATGTGTTGAGACGGAAATCATGGATTGACCCCCAATCAGGGCTGGGTCTGGCGTTGAAAGGTCGGACTGATGCCGCATCAAGTCTTCGACATTCGAAAGAAAGTGCCGACGACTCCCTATAGGCCCTAGCGGGTGGTTCTTGAACTGTTGGATATCCACTTGGAGCGACTGGAGTGTATATCTATCTCGCCTGCCTACACGACTGTCGTGTATAAACACGATTGCGGCCATGCGGAGTTCGATCGCGTTGGCGCGTCCATGGGACTGATCGAGTTCTTCGTGGTGTTTGGGTCAAGGATGTTCGGCGAGAAACGCCGAAAATCAATGGATGACGGTTTGATGCACAGAATTCCACTGAAGAGTTTGCAGATTTCGGGGAAGCTTTTCATTGTTCTGCTTCAATGCCAGCACTCCCCACCGCTGATGAGCATGTCGAATGATCAGGACGGCCATGAGCGAGCTCAAGGGAGCTCGTAGAAGTGTGGCGAAAAAGGAAAGTAAGAAGACAGACATATTGAATATGACCAGGTGCATGCTATAAGCTAGCATATGACAATGTATGACAGAGATATAGCTGAAATTATAGTTATACTGTATACTTGAAGACAGGAAACGTCATGGCGACCAAGCTGGTGAGTAGCACCCAGCACCCAAGCTACATAATCCCTGGCGGCGATGAAATTTGCTGTGCAGCGCCACGATGGGGTGACCCGGGCTTTCCGTTGATGTTTTTGTTCTTCACACAGTTTGCAGTGAATTTGTATGAATTTGTGTTCATCAATGCTTGTACATGTTACATGTTCCAATTCTAACCATTTTTAGTCATTTCATGTCAACCTTTTTTGATGGGAGGGTATCAGTTCGTATTTCTCAGGGTTAAAATTATACATTGAAATTGATACCAGGATATTCCAGGCCTTTTCGCCCATAAGTCCTCGGCCATGACATGAGCCTTGGAATCAGGTTGCAACCTGCTGACATCCTCATCTCAAAGCAGCTAGCAAGCAGCTAGTGTGCTGATATGAGGATCTCAGCTCCAAGGACTGCATAAGGCAAAGCCGACATCGCTCTTTCAAGTGGAGGCGCCCCAGATTGCTTGATTGCTTTGGCGGCGGAACTCCTAGTGACCGCTGTTCCTGAAAAGAAGCAGAGCCGCCGTCAGCTGCAGCCAAAGACTGCTTGCCAGTGGAGGACAAAGTCTTACACTTTGGATCCCCAACACAAATCAAATTCCTTGGATTTCCTTCACTGCCAGTCAAGCACACCCAGGGTGTCCCAGTCACCCAGACACTTGGAGCCTGTTACCAGTTTCTCTCCTCCGGGCTCGTTACAACACCCAGTGCAAAGCCGGAAGACTCAGGCGAAGCGACTCTGCAACCTGGTCTGGGGGTCTTCTCTGGTCATGGTGACATCTCAAGAGTAAACCGATGCCCACCCGAAGGTTTGTTCAGTTTATTTAGTTTTTTGGTGCATTTTTTGTGATTTTCATTGTTTCAAGATGTTTTTCTGTGTGTTCCCCTCAAGGTATACGCATGTTGTATTGTTCATGTTCATGGTTTGTGCCCGTGTTTCACTGGTTTTGGCACCTCAGCTAAAAAACACTGGAATTGGACCGTCCATCCGAAGCCGTGGTTGACTGGAGCTATATGGATGTATTCAGTGGGGCCCACTTGTAGATGGACATGGGGGGTCAACATGACCGTTTCGCCTCTGGTTCATTGGTCCATTAATGACTCATGAGTCCCTCCTGGTCAGGGGAACAGTTCGACCATCCCTCAGAAGCCTCATCTCCTTCGATCATATTAAACCATATTCACCACTCTGACAAACACACAGATTAAAACACCCCCAATTACTATAATTGATAGGTCAAAAAGGCGAGTCTCATGGAGTGTCTCTTACGTTTGTGGTCGACCAATTGCCAAACCATGTCAAACCATGTTCCTCAGCAAACCTGCCCAGGCGACTTTGATGGCGAGAAGCTGGTGTTGGCCGCTCGGAGCGGGGTTCGGGCGACCGTTGCGTGCTCGGTGCTCATGCATCTCCTGGCCAGGAGGGCGCAGCCTCTCGCAAAGGGTGTGTACTCTTAACGGATACCATCCAGACTCTTGCCTCATCCCAAGTGCGGTTTTGGTAGGGGCGCGCTCGCTCAAGAAATCGTGACTCAAATGATTGTATTCTCCAATCCCGACTCAAACGGCAAGCCAGCCCTTCTTTGCCGCAGTGGAGAGAGGTCACTTGAGTGAAGCCACTGAAGAGAAACTCAAGAAATATCAAAAAGCATCGATGCGTGACCCTTCTATTGAACAGCTTTGTTTAATTCTATTTGATTTTTCTTGCTGTGATTGGCAAATGAGCAAATGACGACAAATGACGTATGACGTATTGAATGGTAGATTCATTATTTAGATTAGCCACCCCTAGTCGCACCAGCTAGGTATAGGAGTTGTTCTATTTTGTCCTCGTTCTCGCTCAGGTGGATCGATCACGTGGCACGGGACCTCCATTGTTTCGCATTGTTCAGCTTGAACGTCCCCTGGCCACAAAATCAGCAGATCCGATTCCAGTGAATGGACGTTGTTTCTGAATTCTTGTCTCAAGCTGCAATTCATCGCCAATTGCCAATCCGCCCATTCATCGCAAGTGGGAGGACTAAGCACGGGACCAATTGAACTGTCGGTGGATTTGTAGGGAATGGAAGCAATCATCGAGGAGCCCCAGACTTTGGGTCGGCATCTGAATCTATTCCATGGCAATTGGCTTTGTATACAATAATTACTCGTAGGAGGGGGACCTATTGTTTTGTTGCTTGTGTTTGTAACATGTGTAACCCTTGGAATCATAGGGATGTTTATTTGTTCTTTCTTTTTTAAGCTTGTAGGGGGCAGGAGCACCATTGTAAGACTGATGGTGAAACCAGACCTGATCAGTCTGGTGTACCTTCAGTAATGACTTGACTTGACTCTACCTCTAAGGTATGCTTACATCCTCTTAGGCCCCGTGTACCTCTTGGGCCGCGTTTGTACCTAGAGCAAGTTCTAGTCCTTTGCATCGGTTTGCATTCTGCGGTCAGGCATTGAGGACTGGATTGCCCTGTAGATGTGGCACCCTTGAGATGGTTTCCTGTTCCATTCGGGCAGTTTGTTCACGTTTGTTTCTTTTTCTCTAGGACTCTTATCACGAGTATGTGTGTTTGTTTGTTTGTGTGTTTTTTTGGCCACGGCCATAGCTGAAGATTATGAACAGGGTTTAGTCTTCCAAGTGGATTTGGGGAAACATGGGACACATCCAATATTTGTTTCGTTGAGTGTTCACTCATCAGTAATCCATTCGGAGCAAGGCGCACGTGTTTTGTCCAATGCAACGTTTTCTCCTGCATGAGAGCCTTTGGTCAACAGATATCGATCCAACCTTTAGGATCACCGGTACGAGGTGATATTTGAGTCCACCCATTTGAGAGTAGATACAGGCAAGTAGCCACAAAGGACGGTGCTTTTTGTCGGGTCACCGTCCATTGTTGACAATGAGAGACCTGCAGCCAGGGTTCGAGGTCAAGTGAAGTGTGAAATGATCAGAATCAGTAGAGCGCCGAAAAGGACATGGGAGTGTGTGTTTGATATTGTTGGATGCTATCCACCTAATTTTTGTTGGTCTGACACATGAACCATGAATTTGTGACTATATTTCACGTGCAAACATGGGAGGAACACCTGAAAGTGCATTGTTATTGAAACATTGAGTTGAACATGCTTCTAAAACATGCTGATCGTTTTTTTTTTGTTTAATGAATATCCCATTGTGGTAAGTTGTTTTAAACATATATGTAATAATCAAAATTCCTCCAACCTGTTTTGAGCTATGTGTTGGAGAGTTGCGCATCTATATATATACATGTATATGGGGGTGTCCCGTTACCTGTAACAGTTGGTAAAATAATATCACTATTCTAGAGAAAGGCTTTTACTAACCATTATCATCCACTGTTCCAGGGAACAGGATATACCCGCCTATATGTATACTGTATATATATATATGCATAATCATATTGTATGGGTTGACCAACAGCCATTCCTTTTCCCAGGCAACGAGCACACAGAGTCCCTTGGGAATGATGTTTCTGCGGCGGGAACGAGGGCAATAAATCTAGGCTCTATTTGGGCTGTTGTGACAAATCACGCTGCACTCACATGGCTGGGTGGAAGATTTTCCCTGTTCGTAGAGGAGAATCACAGTGGACATTGTCCAGTTCCATGTGATGTGTTCGTCAGAGTGCATCCCGAAACCAGTGGGAACATGTGTGGAGTTCCCAGCTTTGTAGGAAACTCAATTCAGGTGTATGTTTTTTCTAAGTATTATTGAGGACTTCTTCTATCAATACCTTCAGAATACCCAGTTAGTTAGCCTGTATACTTTTGGATGAGACAGGTTAACTTCTGTGTTCGAAGGACATTGTTTCAGGTCGATTGCAAACAAGGGGGAGCCATGTATAGGAACCAGGAGAACTGGAGAATCCCCCGAACCAACATGAAATGAGTCGCCTTTAGTTGAGGATGTTATTTTCTGAACCCATTGCTTGAGATTGCTTTTCCTCCACACACCTAGGATAGATCCAGGCAATTCTAGATTTTTATATACCATTAAGATCTGTCGTCTTCAACTGAGGGGACAACGTCATAAGGTGCGCCATTGTCGTTGGACCTGTTAGAATTTCCAAAACAGTCCTTCAGTGGGAATATCTCGGGCCACACTTCGTCCCACAGACAAAAAAAAGCAACTCAGGGTGGACAACATCTCTTCTGCCAGCTCGGTGACGTTGCTCAAGCTGTCGCTGGGCGCACTTTTAGCGTTTCCTATGCGCTGTGGTTGGTTGGGGCAGGGCCAAAAGAGCCATGTAAATCCAAGGAGGCGTGAAAAAGGGTATTATTTGTGCTCAGACCACTATTCCTGGGCTTGAAACCGGAGATGACTGAACCCTGGTTTGACTGGCTTGGGATGTTTTATGGGGACTGATGTTCAAGCGACTGCAAATGCAGGCTTTCATGCAGCATGGCATAGTGACTCCGAATTAAATGGAATGTATGACATGGCCGTGAAACATGTGTAAACCTCCTGGTAGTTAGTCCATTCATTTTGGTCTCCATGGCAAAGTTTTTTCGCAACAGAAGCACCCTGGTCTTGACCATCCCTGGGAGTTGTTGCTGACTTGCAGTCTCCGGACCAGGTGGGGCACCAGCTATTTGGTTTGTGCTGTGAATCGCAACCTGCTGATCTACGACTACCAGGAACAGGCGGATCCCATCGACGAATCGATGCCGATGCCTCGAAAGAAACGGTTGGTTGAGAGGCGGAGCGACACGGCCTTCAAGAAATGTGAGACTCTGAAGAGGTATACTAGGTGATGGTTTCGGATATTTTTATTTGCAACCCTTACTTGGGGATGATAGGACCCTTTGACTAATATGTTTCAAGTGGGTTAAAAGCACCAACCAGTATATATATGTTGTAGCTGTAGACGCTTAAGACGCTTGATGTATACTTCAACCCCCAGGCCTCAAAAAAAAGTGTTTACAATCCAAAAGAGAGTTCTTGACTCATCAAGAGTCTGCATTAGCATCATTGTAGCGAGTAATAAGTCATTCCAACGACTCATTACCACTATGGCCACTGGATCTTCTGGGGACAAGTTGTGTCCCAGTGGCTTTGAATGAGGGAACTGCCCAGTCATAGAGGTTTCCTTTATGTCTAGGTGCCAGCAATAGGTGCCAAGCACCCCTGCCGGTTCCGTCAAGCAAACACCTCACAATCTCCTCTGAGAAAAGCGCACGATCCACCTTAGGATCTTGATAAAAAGAAGGTTTGGATTGAACTACCTGTTGATCTGCTTTTGGGGTTATATATAGAGAACCATATGGATATTAACTATCTTATTATAAAACCTATTAACTACCCCTTAACAGGTTGATATGGCTTTATATTATATATATATAGAACTTATAGAACCATTAGGAACCAGAGTGCATCACCTCCGTGAGGGCATTGTTTGCCGTTTGTTGCCGACGACACACGCGTCGTTTGACGTTTCGTCTCTTGGCGAGGGACAGACGCGTCGGACCGAAGTGTCCACACGGCGACAAGAAGTGGCATGCTCTTTGTGTCCCTCTCTCTCTCAATGACCAATAAGAACAAACCATAATCAATAATAGTGAACAAGACTGAACAAGCCAGTTTATATCACTGGTTATATCAGCCAGTTTAGTAGATTTTGTCAACTAGTTCATCCTAGTTACTAGTTGTATGACTAGCAAGCACCAATGGTGGATCAAATTTGAAGATTGACGGAGGGCGAGATGTGGTGTATTCGCAAAGCCTCATCAATTGACGGATTGGTTGGAGGAACACCCAATATTTGGCTACTAAAGTTCTAGCCAAGCTCAAGGTCCAGATCACATGACCAAAGACTATACATCCATCCCAATATTATCTCATTATGTCTCGCCTGTTGGGTTTTTGGCACTTGTCTAGCTGCTTTTTTGATTGACACATGTTGAAGCCACTCCTCGCGATTCCTTCGTCTCGGCCGTCTCATCGACTCGCGTCGACTCGGCTGCGTCAGGTGACGAAGTTCACCATTTGGGGCGGCGGCTCTGCGTCTCGGGCGGTTGGAGAGTGGCGTGTGGTGGCCGGTCTCCAGGACTTGGCCAGTGGCATATGTGTGTAGTATACGTGTGTGTGTAAGGTATTAAACATATGCATATGTACACATATACTGTACGACGTGCTGTAGATTCTATAGATTTTTGCCCTTAATTAGGGGAGAGTTTGGGAACGGTATATGCGCCGCATGGGATCGGCACGGAACAACCCCATGAACTACGAGAAGCACTTGATCGACTCATGGGGCATGGATGGATTCGGTGACGTCTCAGGACTGGAAAGACGGAGCCATGGGGAAGGTTGGCCGCTGTTTGGCCTCCATTTTGTCTGCCTGGTTCACTATCCTAACATGTCCACACACTGATCTAAGTGGGGATGTTCACCATCCTAACATGTCCTAACATGTCCACACACTCCTGGTCTAAGTGGGGGGGGGAAAGGCACATTCTCTGTTGGGCTCCGTTGGAGTTTCCGGGCCAAGGAGATCATGGCCATCGATGCGCAAGACCTGGAAATCCTGGGCACGTTGGACCGAGAGGCTGTGACCAACGGGGAATGCTGAAACGGGAGATGCAGTGACAAGCCACAAGTGTAGGACAAGATAGGAAGAACATAGCTACCCACTAAGTAACATGGGAACGGTAAAAGGATGTACTGGGCAAGAGAAAGAAACACATAGCTGCATAATTCTACATGGCGTTCACCATCGAGAACGTTGAAGGGCTCTAGAGGGGTCAAGCTTTGAAGATCTTAGAAGACCTGATCTGGCGCCATATACCTGAACCCTTCCGGTACAGTACCCTGGAATACAGTGACCGGTACCTGTTCTGATATTTTTAGTGGGTGGGGCTTCTAATCTATAGATCTAGAGGACCTAAGAAGTGGGTGCTTCCAGCATTTGGTTTCTTGAAGTTTCCATTGGACACTTCTGAGTTGTTGGCACGAGGTGTAGAGCGAACATGACAGAACTGGATTCCCCAGGCCCTTTGAAGTTGTGAAGCCATTCCCGCCCTGGGACCAGGCGGCACCAGGCCACGCCCCACGCCCCGCGCGTCGGCTTCGCTTCGGTGTCCTGCCTCGCTGTCAGGCGGTGGCGAAGCTTTGGAATGGCCGCACCGGGGAATGCATCGCCTCGGTGTGTCTTGGCCGCACGGAGGAGGGGAATGCACCAAAATGACAGACGGTGACGCAGTGGACGACAGTTTGCACAATATCTACGGTAAGAGATTCTATAATATGATTTCCTTTGGAAACGTGCAGAGAATGCGTTGTTCGGAGAGGGCACAAAGTTCGATGCAATCAGCTGTGTGTAGTTTGGTGTCCCAAATCCAATTGTTATTCGAGTTATGAATATTTTTCAAATCTCCCGGAATCTCCGGGTATATTTGCTTGCATCTTTCGAAGCCTCTTAGTTTGAGGGCTGTCTTGGAGCCTTTTGGATTGGACTTTTTTGCATCTCAACTTGTGAGTGACGTGTCCATGTCACTTTTGTGTTTGGCGACACATGATACAGACCTCTACAGCTTGGCGGTGAAGGTTCTATCAGCCACTCAGTGCGTGGTAGCAAGTCCGTCCGTTGGAGTGTCACATGTTCGGTGGTCGCATGAGGTGATAAGCTGAGGACCTTCAAAGCACCAAACTGCAGGGTACTTACTGAGCTGCTGCATTATTTTTGTTTCACGACTCGTTGCTCAGCGAGTCGTCACCGAGGCAAGTACCAGATGCTCACTACCATATGGGTGTCTTGACTAAATAGATGACCAAAGCAAGAACCCCCCCCCCCCGACACGAGGATTCAAAGTTGCGAGCTTTGATCGTCCAAAGTTTGCCAGAGAGAGTGACTAAGGGTGGAGCAGAATCGGGCTGTGCATCTCCAAATGTGTGGGGCATTGTGAGCGGATCAAGCAAACTACACTCAAAGCAACATATCAGATTCTATGACATCAGGAGTTTTTATTCCCATGCTCCTCCTGCTCCGCCTCCTCCTCCTCCTCCTCGTCCTTTTCGTCACACTCATCCTCGTGCCTCCTCATTCTCGTCCCTCCTTACCTATCCGTGTCCAGATGCTCATCCATTTTTTTGCTAGCCCATGCTGGTGCTTCCAGATCTTCTAGTAGCTACCCTTCCTCAGCCTCAGAGGACCTCTAAGCTTTTTTCAATCAGTGGAATCCATTGATGCTTCTGACTTGGCCTTGCTGATGCCAAGGCTATCCCTACTGCCTTTGCGCTGCTTGGCTAGAAATTCAAGGAGATGACTTGAATGAAGACAGTGAACAAGAAGCTCAGAAATCGATGATTGTTTTTTGTTAACTAAACATCACATATATTAATAGTGCTATCTATTTAAGGCGTCTAGATCAACACAAATAAGAACAGGATCGACAGAAAAACAGGATCAAAACAATTCAAAACAATAGGGACATGACCAACCAACAAGTAAAATTACAGGAACAAAAGTAAATGGACCTGAGTAGGTCCCCACCATGAGGTGTGTGGTTTTAGATGATGATATAGTCTGTGGTGCCTTCCTGTTTCATTGGATCCAAGAAAGGTCTAAAAACACCACGCGGGGCCCCACAGTGGCACCCGCTAGCTACAAACAACTAAGACCGTTGTGGCACCGCAGGGTCGTTGTTCATGGAGCCAATCAGTCCACCCAGCAAATCACAAGGACATGAGTATGGTGCTGTGCATCATCAAAATCTAACATGTATTTCCTTACATGTGCTATTCCTTTCTCAACATGTTTCAGTAGAGTTACTACTCCACTACTCAACCAGCATGGTGTCTATGCACCGCATCGGCCGCGCGCTTTTTTCAAGCGCAGGTAGCGTCCGCTGTTTCCGTCACTAGGTCAGTGGGCACCGCTTGATCTTGTCGGCCGACGAGGGCGTGTTCCTCGCGGAGCTCGATGACGCCCCAGACGTGCCGTGACGTGGTGCGTTCGAGGCGATCCTTGGAGAAGCGTGGCAGAGATCGGTGCGAAAACACGTGGAAACATAGAGAGACATACGGAGATATGACCGAACCCAAATCAAGAAAGCAATCCCAAATCGTTGTAACAAAACGATATCAAAACACAAGAGACATATCCAAGCAAACAGTATATAATATGTTTTGCAATGTGTTGCATTGTGTTGCAGTAAAATGTTTGACCGCTTGCACCCTTACTTATGCTTGCAAGGTCTCACGAGGTTAATATAATTTACAGTAGTAATTACAAGGGGGACACAAACGTGCTTGCCGCGCTCCAAAGCTGCAGAGCTGCGTTGTGACCTCCTTCCACCTTTCCTGAGTTTTAAGTTATCTAAAGATAAGCTATTGAGGATGCAAGCAGCAACAAACTAGGAAGTTTGCTATGGGGGCACCCACTAGTCTATCCATGTCTATCCTATTCATGGATTATTTTACAGTGAGTGAGAGAGTATGACAACGTATCTCTTAACTCCTAACCATCATCCGCTGGGCAGAGTGATTAGCATAGACCCAGGACCATGTGTTTCAACTTGTAAGTATACGTTATTTCGCAATTGAACACCTCCCAGTGTTGTTTCAAAGAAGGACTTCTACCACCAACCCATGCAGCCATGGCTGCCATGAGCGCTCCTGGGCAGTGCTTCAGTGCTCCCAACCGTTGCCGAAGCGGGGACTTCCCGCATGCAGGGGACGGACATGGACGCAGACCACCCGCTTAAAGGCCCGCTTAGCTCGGTACCCCATATATGTTGATCGTGGAAGTCCGTTGATCCATGACGATTTGTAACTCCAATGGTCCTTGGAATTGGACGTTTTGTCAATTTGACGTGTGTTCGGTTGTCTCATGAAAACTGAAGCTGGCAATGTTCAAAGCTGCGACTTCTCTTGGCCTGCATCCATCCGTGCTGAACACCGGCGCGGGGATCTCGCCGGTTCCCGGGCGTGCTTCGGTTCCCGTGCGTGGCACCTGTCCGAGTAGAAAGTGACATACTTGTGAATGCATAGCTTCGTGTTACTAGAAAGGTGCCTTGCTAGTAGTTTCTTGCTACTGTTACTAATAGTAATTGGTAGTACTGTAATTCTTTATGATGGGAAAAATAGACCCTGGGCTTGTTGCCCTAAACTGTTCCAACGTCTAAGGAGAATGAGGTCTAAGAAAGAACGGTTGATTCCTCCTTTGCATACATTTCAATTATAGAGGACAGCTGGATCTGCGATAATCAAAGGTCCATTTTTTTTTTTTTTTCGACTTGATGGGTTTGATGAGCATGAAGAGACGGAGAAACAGTATCCTTGTGTATACCTGCACACTGATGGGGAAGGAAATAGCAAGTTAATGAACATACAGACATCAAGGCTTAACATCTGTGGGAAAGCATGCCTTTTGGGAGGTTTGGCATAGAGTATGTTCTTATATTTAGCTTTGCATTCAGAGTTCCATTCAGAGAAAAATCATGGCTCGTGATTCGCAAAGGTGTATCGACTGGAAAGCACATGCATATGTGTCCACTTGCTCGGCTTATTAGCGCTTTTGAAGGGGTTTACAATTGCAACACCACAACCGACGCCCAGTCTGGACGAAGCTCCCAACGAGACTTGCTCAACGAGTCCGGCGCCCATCTCCACCTCTTCCCTTTCAGAGGTACCGGGGCGTTCTTCAGACTCACTTTTATCCATGAGCCTTTATCTATAGGCATGCTTTGATGTGCTTTGATGAAGGTCGTGTTGTGGTGGTGTGATTGTTACACCTGGTCCTTCACCAAACTTTGAAACACCATCAACAGCCACAAATGTACAGCCAAAATGGCTGCCAAGATAAGCACCATCCCAGTGCATGTCGTCAGAATGCAAAAAACCTTTTTTAAACACGGGTACGTCATGTCCAAAACCCGGTTATTGCAAAAAAAAACCTGTGTTTTGGCCATAGTCTGGAGCCCCTGGTACAATGGGAATCAATAGGATCAGGGGAAACGAAGCTCCACAAAATGGTGATCCAAAGATTGCCCCTTGAAGAGTAGGAAGGCTGAAAGAAGGCTCAAAGTTTCGGGTATATGATATATGGAATGAGATGGAATGAGCAAAATATTCTACTCATTTCTACTCGTTGTTGTTTCTCTCTCTCTTTCTCTGGTTGGATATGGGACACAAACAATATATAATATACTGTGATTAATTATACTATATTATATCATATATTATTCTTACGCTAGCCTTCCCAGACCATTAAAGTGGTTGGGGCCTGTTTTTGTAGTCTAAAATCCTTAGTAACAATGGTTGCTTAGCACGGAGCATTAAATCAATGATGATTGGAATTTTGGTGATCATATACACACTCGACACAAACCACGGAAGTTCACCAGTTCCAGCAAAATGCCATATGGCTAGTCTTTGAGATAACGACAGCAACCTGCCCCAAGAGTATGATAGAGCTTCACCAAGAGTATCCCTCAGTATATTCCACCCCCCTTTACTCCTACTTTAGTGTTGGACCGGGCAATCCAAAAGTTATGAAGTGAGAGACATTCTCTTGAACCTGTCTTCCAGAGGTCGAACCTTTTCGGAGTCTTTGGTGTTTGATCCATGCCCGCACGGGAATCGCTGCCTGGTGTCAGTCCGAACGAAGCAAAAGGGCGATGTGCTTTGCCTCCCAAAGACCGGCTAAAGCGGATGAAGACTGGAAAGGGGTCGGTCCTGACCTGTTGGAGGGTGCTGGTACTGAAACTTTAAGGCGGTGACCATCGATTCTCACTTAGCAACAATCTATGTGGTCTGAGAGATGTGCAAAACCCTATGCTTCTTTGTCTTAAGAGTTCATGTGACCCAGATTCTTTTGGGCCAAGCAGAGCGTCGACGTGTCATACAAAACCCTCCAACAAAGTTAAACGTTTTTCCTCAGTCCCAGGGCCTCCAATCCTCAGGGATGAACCGTGGCGGCGCCGACCGGAGCGGTACGTGGTGTTTCAAGGTCTTCGGTACCGGGGCTGCGCAAGTCCGAGTTGCCGAGCGGACTGGCAAGTGTGGCGAACATCGGGTTTGAGGTCAAAAACATGCAAACAACGCCGTCCTGGCCAGTTTTTAGGCTTCCTATTGTGGTTGGTGGACAAGACATGCACAAAGAATCTGTTGGATTCTTTTGGTATGTCTGAGACCTGGTAAACTTCCAGCTGATGCAAGCTGATCCTGGGGAATGTCATCATCAATGTGTCACGTTTCCGCTGCGGGCGGGATCTTCGAGACCCGGATCTCTGTCGGCAGGAGACCTACCGAGAACTGCCCTCCTGGGTTCAGGTCGGACGTGCGGCCCGCGCCGATTTCACCGGATGCGGCGACCGCGGGCGGTGCATGGATCTTCCTTAAGGGTTTTCCACAGAGTTTCAGGAGTCTGTCTCGGACTAGCCGGACCATCCCAGTTGGGTGAAGTGGCCGAGGTTTTCATGGCACCTAGTGGGTGAAGGGGCCGAAAGGAAAGACGCGGTTTTGTTGGCGCAAGAATCGTTGGAATACGGCGATATTAGGCCATATCAACAACAATTTGTCAGCAGAATGAGGTTGACGTTCATTTCATAGTGACAAAGAACCCAATAAGATATCCAATAAGTCCCGATTCTGGATCTTCATGAAGGAGTCCGGCCAAGAACTAGGTCCCAAAATATCCCAGCACAAGCCATACCTACCTCAGAACTCTTGGCTCAGACATCCCAAGACTGTTTGTGGCCAATCCCGAAAGCCACCACTTGGGATTTGAGTCAAGAGTCCTGATGGGGATGTGCTTGTATACAAACACAAAGCGTTTTGACTGTGCCTCCCCGAAATTGAGATGTGATCTATTACAAAAGATCCCCGAAACACTGTGTGTTGATCACTAAGATCTCGTGATTGACTGTGCACCTCCCCTGACTCCCCCCACCGGTAGTCCATGGACCGGACGGCCCCGTGTTGGGAGCGGAATGGGGACCCCACACATGCGGCTGAACGGTGATGTGTGGTGACGGCTGTGGTCCATCTACCATTGGGTTTCGGGGAGACTCTCTTTTTGGAGCCCAAACACCTTTGTCATTTGGGGCTTGAAGCCATTGAGATCGTTGAGATGGACCCGCAAGGGTGTCGGACACCAGGTGTTGATTCATGGAAACTATAGAGTTTATATTTGATTATAAAGTAGTATAATATGGGCCGTGGACATTTCGGGCCCCATGAAAAGCAATTGTTTCTGAATCATGTGATCCAATTTTATTTGCTGAATACGACACGTGTATTGTAATTCATGCGCTAACAAATCAATCCTTTGCTAACAGCAAACAAACCAATCATTTTTTTTGCATAAGTAAATTCATAACAAAAAGTATCATTCATATCCTGGTCACCTTTTTGGCTTATAGAATGGGAGGGGTCAACCCCTCCCATAAAACGATTTATAGATACCAGGGGGTAGGAGAATAGGAGGGGTGGGCCCTCCCATTTTATAGAGAAAACGGGCTTGTTACAGTGTGTGTTCCATTTTCTATGTGTTTCACTTTTTGTCAGTTGATGTGAACTGCACTCATCCGATCCGTAACCGTTTGATCATTAATTTGATCAAGATGAGCGCTCCTGCTGAATTACCGATTACCGGGTCCATACAATGTCAGAAGATGTCCTGCCAAAATGGCAAGATGGAGCCTTCGGTATTCAATGAGAAGCATGAGTGTTGGGTATCCAAGCAGAAGCACATTTGGTGTATTTAAGTAATTTCACTTGTGGGTTGCCCTTTGGATCAATAACTTCACAGCATTGGGGCCTGGCAGGATCTGGGAAGCCTATAGGCCCGCCTTTTCTCTATAGCCTGGCAGCCCCCACACCTCATCTCTATAAAATGGCATTCCTTGACCGTCTCGCCACTGTATAAACAGGTTTGCTTCTAGACCTGTTGTGTTTTTTTCTACTGCCCACAACAGAATTCCTTATGGCAGGCTGAACAT